ATATATGCTATCCAGATATAGGACTCGTATCCATTATTATTCAAGATAAAAAAGCAATGGCTCTAAAGGATACTTAAAATAATTTTAGGGGTAATCAAAGCAACAATTGAATGTCTCTTCTGGTAAAGAGATGCCAAGATGCATTTTCCATACCAGCTGAATACTGTGGGTGAACAAAATATCCTGCAAGTGAAACTTGGTCACAGTTTTTGACACAGATCATAATCCAAATCTGATAGCAGAAGAGCATTGTTGAAAACTAGTCTCAAGAAAGCTTTTAAAATATCAGTGGTAGACTGTCAACAAATCAAATATCTTCATGGGCATAAGTTAAAACATATTAAAACCTTATATACGAACTAATAATCTCATATACCGATGCTGTGTCATGACATTGCCAAAATGTATATCCATAATAGTTATTATAGAATAATAAGATGATAGAATGACCTGCAGAGCCGACAGCAATGACTGAATATATGCTAGCAAGCACACTAGCAAATAAATTTCTCGGTAACTACATAACATTGCAACAATTTAGGATAATATAACGCAACACAAATAATGCCAATAGAAATATTTTACAATCCAACAAATAAAGTCATACTGAAAGTAACATTTTTAGAGTCGAAACTTCATCATGTCACAAAGACATAATAACTTACTTCAAAGGAGTCAGGTACAGTTTTGGTCTTAGCAATCGGCTCTTGATCAAAATCTCTAGTGAGTATTTAGAAAATATTTTTTAAAAATATCTATTATTTAAAAAACCCTGTTTCTGATTTTAATTTATGAGTAGACTGTGTCACTCAAAAACAGTTTTTTATGTAACTACAGTACAGAAAACAGACAACTTTATGGAAAATCACAGTGTCAAAAAGTTTTTAAATGGATAAAAATGACATTGATTGTGAGAGCTGATTGAAGCTTAAAACTTGAAAAGAAAGATCCAAAGAGTACACAGCCCGATTTACAGGGGAAAATGTGGTTAGGACAGGTGTACTTTTCATGAGATTTTAAGCAGATGGCAAAATACTTGATTGACAAAATAATCTAAGGAAAGGAACATCAACGGGCTTGATAATTGGACAAACAAACAAAAGAAAAGCCCAATCAAACCACAAGGCACTGAATTGAGTTTTAGCAACTTGAACTTGCATTTAAGACAAGTTCACAAGTTGACAAACAATACTGATCACATATACATATATAGTACACCCAGAGAGAGAACAACAAACTTATGACTTGGTTCACAAGAAGAAACAATCCCTGGAATACAACTCAATCACTTTGAGTTGAAGCAACCAAATTGAGCGGCACATCAGCCAAATTCTTAGAGGAGTCCTTCTCACCTGAGTTCATAGCTTCTGTTTTGACTTGGACTGTTGCATAATTTGGCACTGAAAGGTATGGGGCTGAGGCGTGAGCCCGCACCACATTTGGCTGAGACAAGTTGGGCAGATTTAACTGATGTCGTTGCAGTGCTAAATTGGCAACAGCAGCACTGTTGTTATTCTTGTTGTTGTGTTGAAGTGCAGCAAGCATTAAATGAGGCTGGATTTGACGACGTAAAGCAGCTAACATTTCATCATGATCTTCTAAGGCAGAGGATCTTGGGGGAACACTACTTCCTGTCTGAGGACTTACACTAACTCCATTTCCACCAGCTGACACAGGGGACGGTTTGTTTTCTGTGCGTAGAAAAAGACAAATAGATATAGACAGGGCTGTAAAGCAATACACAAGCTTCAAAATATAAGAAATTAAATACTTACTACTGCGGTGTCGAGGGGATTTTTCACCTTTCGGACGTCGACGTCTTGTGTGGATTGTGTCACGGCGCATGGTGACAGGGCGGTTTACACCATGGAGTTTGTAGTATAAACCACAAGCATTGCAAACCATTTCACCAAGAGGGTTGCGACGCCATATTGTGGTTGTCATTGTACCACAATTGGTGCACGACAAGTCAACACGGCGAGCAGCAAGCTAAAAAAATTGCAAAGTTATTAATTAAGTGCTGTGTGACAGATAGATGATGAATCGAAAACATTGAATATTGTCATTTACCTTTCCTGACTTGACAACTCCTGAGAAATTAGACCAATTGTTGGAATCATTAGCTTCTGAACCATCTTCTTCACCATCATCCCCCTCTTCCATAGGTTCTTCCACATATTCCTCTGCATCTCCTCCATCAACAGCATCATCTTCCTCTACTCCTTCTTGAACAAGATTTGCTGGGCTGGACAGGTAAAATATGCTCAAAAATGTCCTACCACAAGAGAATAACAATTACCTAAAATTAAAGAAAAGTACTGTTTTACCTTCTACTAGCTTGACTGGAAACAGTGAAGGCATCTGGAGCTCTGGAAGGGTAACTTTGTTTGCGCCGGCCACAACCTTGCATACGCCCCGCAGAAACTGGGATAACACTTACATTGTTTCGAATGAGTAATGGCATATGGTCTTTGGGTGGTTCAACTTGCTGTTAAAAAAAAGGAAAACACAGCTTTGATTATCGAATATTTGTTAATTAATGATCAATGAGATGAGTGCAATTCAAGGCATCTGTCACAGGGCTCATACCTGACCATCTCCTCCAAAATGATGGGATGCAGGAGAAGAAGATGAAGATACATGATGGAAATTCTTTGGTGACGGCCCTCGCAAAAGTGCTTTAGCCAGTATTTCACTCCTGTTTTTGAGAGACTGTTGGAGTGACTGTTGTAATGAGGACAGCACAGGAGAAGGAGTAGGAGATGATGATGAGGAAGGAGGTTGATATCTTTCTGTACGATTAGTGATCAGAGAACGCAGAAGATTCCCAGATGCATTCTCTTGGTCATCAATTCGTGATGGGGAAGTCCAAACACGTCCATTGTCCTCCTTCAACTGAACTTCAGGCTCAAGTAAAGGCCTTCCCAAGGATTCTGGGCTTGCAGGTTCCCTGAGAGCAAATGAATACATGAAGAAATTTAATTATTTTCCTATAGTGAATAAATATAATTCAAAAAATCATTTCTGTTAGCATTTAGTTACAGATAACTCACATGTCCTGGGAGTGCCTATCTTCAGCTTCCTCATCCAGCATTTTATCACGATGTTCTTCTCTTTTCTTTGACATATCAATCCCGAGTATGCTGTCTTTACCACCCTCCCCATTCTCAACACCACTAGTTTGGACAGATCCATTTTCAATTTCACATTCACCTTGACTTTCATCAGCTTCTTCCCCTTCTGCTACAACTAGCCTGGAACTATTACTACATTCATCATCATAAAAGTCATCCTCAACATTCTCGTCTTTTATTCTATCAGTTATGTCACATTTTGCTTCTGCTACAGGGGGAGGACTCTTATTCATTCCGTCGCCCTCATTCTTGACTGAAGCAACAAATCCATTTCTTTTGAAGTCCAGAGGTTTAGGTGGTGGTGCTTTTTCTTCAAATAAACTTTTATTAAGCTTTGATCCAAATTTTGAATTTAAATCAATTGGCTTTGGCAGTGGCAATTCCTCATGGGAGTGGTCCTGAAACAGTTACAAAAATGCCACAAAATAAGTAAACAATTTAATTACTTTCCTAAAATTAGATTTAAAAAGAAAAAAATTACTTTTCCATCCTGCTCTGCATAGTTTAAGTACTGTTTCAGAATTGTATCAGATTTTCTTGCTCCTTCTCTGAAGTCATGAAGTACATCCAACTTATAGACACAACGCTGGCAAACTAATGGTGGTAAGAGGTCTTGCTCTGATACCTGAAACAGGAATTAAGGCAAGTACTTTGAAAAGAGGTAAAAAAAAATTAGAAAATCACTATGGATGACAGCAACCCCATCCTGTCATCAATTATTTTCATATTGTGTGTTTTTCACTTAAATGGGTGACAAATTCAAACAAAGCTCCAAACAAGCTTTAATTGTTTTAAAAAAAATCGAATAAAATAAAACATGTAGAAATAAGCTACTCAAGTTTTTGACAACAGTAATTATGAGATTTCACTTTTGTCACTGGTGGTTTGAGTTATTTATGTTATCGGTTTCATCAATTTAAGAAGGCACGACAAATGCGGTTACTCCATTATAAATTGCGTCATGGTGCCATCGTTCTAAGAATAGAGTCATGTGCGATTCAAGTAGACTTTCTCGGAAATCGTGAGTAAACCCCAGGGCGCACACATAACCTCTCACACAGGCACATTTCGGCCAAGCGTCCGGTGTGCACAATTCGCCTCGATAATGCGGCGACGTCAGCCGATTTGTATTCATCTTATCCGAAGAGCTGATAAGAAGGCCAGGAGTGAATGAACGCGATAACAGACGGGTGTAGTATCACATTGTCACTTAAAAGGGTGATATGGCGGCTTATCGCTTTCTTATCTTATCTACATCTCCCGAAGTAGGACAGCACTCAGCAAACGCATCATGCAAACATGTAGGTTTTCCTTCGTTATCAGAATCAGTTAAAGGGGGAATGATACACATTATTTACTTCACAAACACTTACCACGATTGACAGACAGGACATAATTTTGTGAGGAAAGTTGCGTTGTATACCCTCATCGTCGAAAATAGACAATTTCACACCATCACAGGATAAACAAAGACGACAGAGTTCATAAAACTTTTGCGGAACACTGCACATATTGCTTTTTATAATCCTTGAGTCTTCTAGTACTTCCTTGCACCATCACAGTTGTGTTTCTGTCATGAGTTTCGGCCTATTTCTAGTTTCTCCTCTCGTTGACAACTCGGAAAACTTTTTTGTCACTATCACCTCTCATTGTTAGACAAGGAATACATCGGGATATCGGAGCACGACCTCCTGGACTGCAATGAATGGATTACGGCACGGGGAGTTCCGAGGTTCGCCCGTAGAGGGCAGGGAAGTCAGTGCTGCACGAAGTAACTTGCTTATCTTCGGTGTAAACCAAATAGTAAATCATTAAAAAAACTAATTCAGTCTATGTGAACGTCAAGAATAGTGTTTGCAGATAAGGAACTGAGAACGAAAATATTTTCAGCAAATACTTTCGTCGGCTTCGGACACCATGAGAACCTAGCTGGCCGTGACTCTTACGAGGCAACTTTGAAAATCGAAAAGCTCCGGACGGGAGAACTGCAAGTCGCTATAGGGATTTAAGACGTAAACGAGCGCGATCTCAGACGCATGTAATATCTCTCTATTAGGAGAATCCTCATTCATAACAGTGAGGACTGACAGCCCTCATCTCGTAGCCCACGTCGGCCCCAGGAGCTGCAGAGTGGCGACCGGGGGGGAACCGGGGGTCCAGAAGCAGAGGCTTTTCGGCCTGGAGCCAGAGGTTGCCTGCCTGCGCCTGCGCGAGGGGCGCGGGGAGCGAAAGGTGAGGGAGGGCCCCCGTGGGCCCCGGGCCGGGGATGGGGCCCGGCAGGCCCGGCCGCGGGGGCTCGGAGTGGGGGCGCGGCGGGGAGCGGCGGGGCGCGGCGGGGCGCCGTGGGCCCCGGGCCGGGGATGGGGCCCGGCAGGCCCGGCCGCGGGGGCTCGGAGTGGGGGCGCGGCGGGGAGCGGCGGGGCGCGGCGGGGCCTAATGACAAGCGCGTCCACCGAGGAGTCCGTGGCGATGATATACGTGTCTTGTGCCGTCCCAGCCCGTCCCGGCCCGTCCGCCATCAGCGTCTCGGTCGGGTCACTGTACGGGGGGCTGAGGCATCAGAGAGGCATGCTGAGGATGCTGAGCTGGCAGGGATCTGAGACCGAGCGGACCAGGCGCGGGGAGGGGGGGGGGAGGGGCACATCACATCCTTGACGGATTGACGCGCGTGTCTGGGACCGGATCGGACCGGATGGACCGGCCGGGGCCCGATCCGCGGCGATCTGCTCTCCGACGTGGCCGCATTGAGAGCTGCTCCGGCCGGGGCTTGGGCTTATCGGGGGCCGGTTATCTCGGCCGCGGGGGGCCCCGCACCACCGGCCGGCCGGAGGTTCGATCCCGTCCGGAAACCTTCCAGCAGCGCCCCTCTCAGCTCCCTCTGCTCGGCGTTTCTTAGTATTCCAGCCGAGTGCCTGCCAGCTGGCCATCGAGTGGCCATCGCGATAAACACAGCCCGGCCGCCGAGCCGCCGCCCTCCACTTGAGCGTGAGCGAGGACGGCGTGGGTGGACAGACGCCCCGTCTCTCTCGCTCCGCCGGCCGGGGCACAAGGCGACGCGTTAGTATTGGGCAACGCTCGGCCCCGCCCGGCCTTATGGGAAAGCGAAGCGGCAGCGGCGGCATGCAAGGACGAAGGACCTTGCAGGGCCCGGTCCCTGGTCGAGCGAGGCTGGCCCCGGGGGCCCTCGGGCGAGCTTGTGGGCGTCCCCCGCAGTCCCCCCGCGCCGGCTGGGGGACCGGGCCGGGGGCCGGTGACAGGAGCGGAGAGCGGAGTGCCGTGCCGTGGTGTGGGAACCAACGCAACATCGCACAGCCGCACAGCTCTATATCCCTTGATCCCGCCGCGCGCACCGGCGCAGGCCCCTCGGTGGTGTAAGTCATCGGCCGGAAGCCCAGGATCCGCTTCTCACGTTTCTTTGCCACCGATGAGCGGCTGAGCGGCGGGAGACGAGCCGGCTGAGCTGCACTGTCGGGAGAAAAACGTGAGGCGCGGCCGAGCCGAGCCGGCGCTTCTGTTGGCGCAGAAAAGACGGGAGAGCTTCAGGAGCGCCCAGCTCACGATATTGAAGTCTCGTCTTCTGGTTTTCGCCTCATTGTTTTTGTGAGGAGTAAAAGCGCGATATCCCGACAGAGATGTCAGAGCCGCGACCTTTTCCTGTAGGCTCTCGCCGGCTGCGGCGGGGCGCGAATGCGGTGAGCGGCCGTCGCTCGCTGAGGAGGTCCTTCCCCCCCTCCGCCCGGTGAGGACGGGCCGCGTCGCGCTGCCGGCAGACACGCCGCCGCCGAGCAGGAGCGACGACTTGCCGCTCAGCGTCGCGTCGTCGTGCAGGGCAGGGCCGCGTCCGGAGTGCGCGCGAGTCGCTTCACCCCCGCGGCGTCGTCAGCAGAGCGGGGGCATGCCATGCGGTGGCGCGGCGCTCCTTTTCGAACGCCCCGGTGGGAGGCTGCTGCCCCCCCCTCCCCCTGCGGCCCATGTGGCCTCGCACGGAGCAAGGCCCTCCCGGCGGCAGCTCCACGACGCCATCCGCCCGCCGCACCATCTGGAAGCGAACCAGCGCCGCCGCGCCAGGGCACCACCACCGCGCCACGGCACCGCAGCGACTTTCTAATTTTAAAAGGCGATATCGAAGTTTAGACCGCGGCGGCGTGCGGTGCGGCGACCCCCCCCCCCTCTCCCCGCTCCACGCACGAGAGGAAGGGGGCCGCCGCGCGTTATAGCAGCGTGAGCAGGAGGGGCCACGCCGTATCGGGGCAAGGCGGGCAAAGGCAGGCGGGAGGCGTCCCGTACTCGTTTATTTGCCGGAGACAATCTCCCGTTACGTCGCAGGGGACCGACCGGCAGCCTCGGCAGCACAGCCGCCGTTGAGGTAAAAGCGACGAGTGCTGTTCACAAGCACGCGGAGCAGCAAGCCGTCGTCGTGTTGGGCTTGCTCTGGCTGCAGCGCCCTTCGTGGAGTCCAGGAGGGCGGCTAGCTCGCCCTCCCGGCCCGGCCCAGGTCAGTGGGAGGAGGCCCCCGGCCGACCGCGGCCCCCCTCGCGGGCTTCGTGGGCCCCTCTAGCTGGGCGCCGCGGGCCGCGGGCCGGGCCGGGCCGCTCGTGTGGGCCGCTCCCTCCTCCAGGATGAAGACATGCAGGTCCACCAGCCGCCTCCTGTAATGGAGGGGAGCAGCTCGGCTCATGGGCGGAACTACCGACCGAACTCCCGGGCCGGGCCGGGCCGGGCCCCGGCACGCAGCAGCAGGACGAGCGCCTTCAAGCCTTTCTCCTCTCCGGGGCGGGCGGAGACGGAGAGGACTGGAAATGAGGGCAAATGAGGTCACCCGGCGGGCGCGTCCCACAGCGGCGGCCCCGCCCGCCCCGCGCCCCGCCACTCTGGCTCCGTCTGGAGGAAGACGGACGACGAGCTCCCAGCGGAGGACGCCCGGGAGGTAGGCAGCGCGGCCCACGCCACGCACAGCTGCGGGCTGGTTGCCTACCTCCCAGTCAGCCGCCGCCGCACGCACCACACCATGCGTGCACGCCACGCGCACCGCCCAGTTTCAGGCGGGAATTGTACTTCTCGCCTCATGAATTCGTACACTCGATTTCTACAACTAGCACCCTGGCACGTTTTTAGAATTTTCTTTTGATGAAATGGGGCTAAAATTTGAGTACGATTTGAGGCAGTGCGAGTAAGTTGTTTACGCCGCTAAATTGACCGAGTGCCAGGGAAAGAGCAGTGCATTCTGTTTAGAAAAAAGTACTCTTTGAATGTCGACTCGGCAGAACTTGTACTGCCATTCACCATAAAATACCCCCAAAATCACCTTGTCCCATCGCCTGCAGCCTGCTGGATAGGCATGCCTAGGCATGGCGGTGGTTGCAACCACAATACGCGCACCGCATTATCGCCTTGACTTCGAGTTTCTACTCGAAACTTCGAGGTCGAGGCATCAAGCCGTCAAGCCGGGAGAAGTTATTAAATCTCTCATATACATATATTTTGGCGGGAAAGGGTCTAGACTTTGAAACGATGTTGTACAAATGACACTTGGGGTTTCCCCGGCGACCGAGAGTGTTGCACGTGTTGCACGGAGAACCTTGTTTATACAAAGGGTGGTGACGCTAGCTCAGGCAGAATGACAGACTTTGCTCCCGAAGCACTTTTCCAGTTTGCGAGGAAAGTCTCCTTTCCAGGAGTAATTCGACCCTCGTACATACCAGGTTCGAGTAATTTAAATTATCGCCCTTAACGAGCACTTGTGGGCTTTTGATCGTAAATATGTTCTCTTGCGCGGTGAGGTCAAGATATCAGAAAGTATACTTAGATTTAATGTTTATATCTAGGGGCCCGCTATAGGGAGAGAAATTCCAGAAATCAAAAACTACCCGTCCTCTTAAATCGCCATACGCCATAGCTAACTCTGGTGCTTTGCAATCGCCTCAGGGACACCGTATTCCGCGTCCACCGATGCAGTACAGAGGGCGGCGAGGAAGGACGTTCACCGGGCGTGGCAGGCGTTGCTGCCAGCCATGCCCGCGGACGACAGCCGCATGGTGATGCAAGCCGTGGTGGAGGACAGCCTCGCCCTCAGGAGCACGGTGAGCGCGGGACCGACCAAATCACCGTTATTTGTCAACGATTTAAGCTCTATACAGCAACCCTCTGCTGCCATCCCCTCTCTCGCCCTGCTAGGAGGTGGAGGCGGCGATCGCCTCGCGCCTGGAGGCGGCGGAGGCGCTGGCGGAGGCGCGCGCGGGGGCGGCGCAGGGGCGGCTGGAGCAGCGCCTGCAGACTAACTGGGAGAGCCTGCTGCCCGCGGCGCAGCAGAGGCTGGTCGCCCTGGAGCTCTGCAAGGAGAGGAGTAAGAGCAGCAGCCTCCCGCCGCCAGCGTGACTATCAAGACCAAAGCGATAGCAAGTGCGACTAATCGCCCTGATGAACAATATGGTGATCAGCGCTCCGGAAAATGAAACCCTGCGCGGGGGATCGCGCGACCATCGGCAGGCGGGTGCGCAGCCGTAAGAACAGGCCAAGCTTCAGCAGAGGTATGCGCGAGACGCGCATCGTGCCCGGTGTGTCACGGGGGGTGCGTGTCCACATGGTGGTCACGCCAGGGCCGGGTGCGCAGGGCTGCCCCTGTGCAGCGCGCGCGTGCAGGAGCTGTGGCAGCCGTCCCTGGCGATGCAGGGCCGCGTGGTGCCCGTGGAGCTGTGCGACCGCTACACCCGCTGGGACGAGGACGGCCTGCGCGCGCTGCACGCCGTCTTCAAGCAGGAGCGCCTGCGGGCGGCCGAGGCGGGCGCGGCCTTCGTGCCGCTCACGCGCCGCCGCCTCCGGCAGCAGGCCAAGCTGGCCCAGCCGGTGAGTCGCGCGCCTTGGCCCCTGGCCACACCAGCACACCTTCATTGGGGATGACGACGATGGCCGGCGGATCTTCTCTGGACAGGCGGACTTCGGGTCGATGTTCGCGCGCGCGCCCGAGGAGGCGGCCCAGCGCGCCGCCGTGCTGCTGCAGTCCACGCTGCGGGGCCGGGCCGCCCAGACGCACATGTGGGAGGAGCTGGCGCGGCACCGCGACGCCGTGGAGGAGGTCAAGGAGCCCCTCGGGGCCCTCGCCGAGCCGCGCGCCACCGAGCCCCGCGGGCCGTCGCCGCGGCCGCGCACCCCGAGGCTCTACGACGACCGGCGCGAGGAGGTGGGCGCGTCCTGGCCACCTACACGCCGCAGGCCCACCTCAGCTCCGTCACACCAAACACCTGGTTAAACTGACCCTCACACCCTCACCTCCGCAGCCCACGCCCGAGCTCTTCACGCGCCTGGAGGACGTGTCGGTGGCGGACGTCGTGGAGGCCATCACCGAGAAGATCATGATGCTCCGCGTCCAGAGCCCCTGCGCGCCGGGCGACGCGCTCGAGGCCATGCAGGCCGCGCGCAAGGGGGCCGCCTCCCCGAGCGCTCACGGGTCGGCCGCGGGCAGTGAGGTGGGCGGCGGCGGGCTGTAGGAGGGCAGCACGCCAGGACTCTCTTGGACACACTCCTCCGGGGTGGGCCGTAAGGGGCCACCAAAGGACTCTCCTCGACGGAAAAGAGTGGCTCCTGCAGGAGTACCCTTCGGGCCTGTAACCCCCGCTTTGACGAACGCCGTGGGTGCTAACCCTGGTGTGAACTTTTTATCGCTTGACTCCCCAAATTGACCCCGGGAATTTTATAATCTTTGACCTGAGAAATAAATGTTTGTTTGTTTTTGAGTTGAATCACGTTGCGTCTGCTTTTGGGAGGCGGAAGGCCCGATGCAAGGACGTAACTGAAAATAACGCCTGAGGGCACGGTCGGTTTTACAGGAACGCGACCCGGAGCGCGCAACGGGCCAAGGGGCGGTGGGAGAGGGGCTGGGGGAACAGGGGGTCGAGGGAAATGTGGGGGGCGAAAAACAAGGGGTTGCGAGGATGGACGAGAGAGAGCAGGATCTGGAAGGGAAAGTGGGGGGAGGGGAGGCGGTGGATACGGCAGCGATGCTCGGGGCAGAACGGGGAGGGGTAGAGGAGACACCAGAGACGGAAGGACGGAATGTGATAGATCAAGGTGTGGAGGGACGTGGCGAGGAGGACCAAGGGGATAAGAAGCCGGGGTTGTGGATTGGAAACGGAGAAGAGCTACTCTCGCGGGAAGGGGTAGAGGCAACGGGTGAGGAGCAGATGGAAGAGGGGATAGACCAAGTCGGGTTGGAAGAGGAGGACCCCTTGATGTACACAACTGGCGACATCTGCTTCCCGCACAACTTGGAGGACGTGGCCGTGGACTCGGGTCGACAGAGCCCAGCTCCGGTCGTTCTGGAGAGAGGTACGTTCGACGCGGGGTGGCCTCGTAAGTGGCCTAACCTCGCACCGCTTCTTTCCGCCCCGGCTGCCGCGTGTTCTAGACGTCGGCGACCTGCCCTATCCACAAAGCCCCGAGCAGGGCCAAGTGGAAGGCCCAGCCGGTCTCTCCGAGGCGTCCGGCGGCGTCTTCGAGCAGGGCACCAACGACCAAGCGGACGGCCCCGCAGGTCTCTCCAAGGCAAACGGCGTCCTCGAGCAGGGCACTGACGAGGAGGCAGAGGCCAAACGGGAGGGCCCCACCGCTCTCCCAAAGGCGTGCGGTGTCTTTGATCAAGGCGCCGACGACGGGGCTGGGGCCCAAGCGGAGGGCCTGGCCGGTCTCTCCGAGGCGTCCGGCGTCCTCGAGCAGGGCACCGACGACCAAGCGGATGGCCCCGAAGGTCTCTCCAAGACAAACGGCGTCCTCGAGCAGGGCACCGACGAGGAGGCAGAGGCCAAACGGGAGGGCCCCACCGGTCTCC